TAGTTCATACTTCACATAATGATTTGACTAATGATTTCCTACTTCTAACCAGTGGGTTCAATGAGCTCCCACCATTTAATTTTATTTACATTTTCATTAATAATATGATTTTAAATTTGATATATAAGGGAATCCGTCAAATGATTCAGCAGTAAAAAAGAGAGCATTTTTTTATAGAAATTTTGGGTTCTAACAACTATATCCGTAAAGATATGAATGTGTTATCAATAATTAAAAAATATTTTAAACATAAACTATACTTATAATCATACCTAATATGTATGATAACGATGGAATATTGATTCATATATTATTAAAGCTATTGTAAATACTAAGAAATTATTGATTTAAACGTATTTGAATGTATTTATATATATATATATATAGTTAGAGTCGATTTAAATGTATAATGTTCTTCTTAAGCCAAGAGTTACAGGATTGGAGTAAACTCAAACGCATATGGCTTCTTTAGATGGGTACATTTAGGGATGATAGTTTAATAGAAATTTGATGGATTCCGGTTCAACTCGTTTTGATAGGATTAGATTAAAAAATAATTTTGTCTATGAAATATTTTCGAGTCAAATTTTTAACGTCGTTAATTTTAAATTTTTGATTTTTTTTGAGTCGATATGAACTTTATTCACCCTTATCCCTAGGTATATTTAGTTTGGCGTTTGAGGATTTGTGTAATTTAGAAAATCCATTTATGTATATTATGATATAATATTATTTTAGGTATTTGGATATTCATAATATTAAAATATACACTTAGGATTTCTAAGTTTGAGTGTGCTTTATGCAATATTACGATCTATTAAAATTTTTGTTTTATATTTCTTTCAATTTCTCATATTTTACAATTAATATAGTGAAATTTTGTCTACTCTATCTATATTTTTTCTTTTTCACATATTATTTATTTTATTATAAATTTTACAATTGATTATTCATAATTATCTCTAACTTAGTTTTTTATATAAATTTGGGATGAGTACAAGATAATATTTATTCGAAAACTCTCAATCATTTAACAATGATTGTTCATTCTATTGTGGCACATACAGTGCTTGAACTCGAAATCTCAAGAGATAACAATAAATCTATTAATCACTAAGATCATTTGGTTCGTGTCTTAACTCAGTTACTTAAATAATAAAGTTTTATCTTGAATTTTAAACTCAAAAGTCAAACTTTTTATTAGACCAAATGGAATCTTGCCCCTTTTTTCCTCAAATAAAAGAATAATACACACAATAAAACGCCGCCGCCCAAAAACGCAACATCACATGTCGTCGTGGTTGCATTATTTGATTAATTATTAGATTTTACTAATTTAGAAAAAAAAGGTTAGTTATATATGATTCATAACAAATATTAAAAATGTTGGCACGTGTGAGGATTTTCTATTTTAATAAACAAAACAATATATTCTGGTGGCATATTATTATTAACAGAGTATTAGATGCTCTTAATGACCATTAAAAACTTAAAAAGAAAGCTTAATTATATATATAATAATTTAAGTTTTATGTCAAATTTGGATTTTAGGAGATTCCATCTCACCTTGTCTAATATAATCATACATATACCCTTCTATGTATTTATACATTACTAATTAATTTTTGATAAAAAGAATATGTAAACTTTTGCATATATTATTTTAGATTAAAATTTAAAAATATTAATTTATGTAAAAAAAACATTTTACATAAACCAGTTTATTCCTCCCAACATATATACATATACGTAAATATTAGTATATAATATATTAAACTAATTTTTTTTAATTTTATTTTTAAAATAAATTAATTAATATTTTATTTGAATATTTTTTATTTTGATAAAAAAATGAAAAATTATATTAAATCGAATAAGATCCTAGACAGAATTAATTTTTTAAACTAAAATTTGTAGTCCAATTTAAGGCTACTAAAAACATTTTAACTATAAGTCAAAATTTATTATTATAATATCATATCGAGTTCTAATCAACTAAAAATATATATTGATCTCTTCGATTGTTATTCCTAACCACTCCTAAATATATATTTTAATAGAAATATATATTATATGATTGGTCTTAATAATTTGAATTTAATAGTTAGATGAATAAAAAAGTGTAATATTCCCAAATAACAACTTTATGTTTGACTTGGTGTTAAAAACAACTTTGACTTATGAACAATTGTATGACAACTTTCTAATGTTTTATATTAATATGTATAAATTTTATTGATTTTTAAAATTATTATTATTATCACAATGTTTTGAGAACGTCCAGCGAAAATTTAAAAATAATAATGAGGAGAATCATTTCATTATTAATCTTGATTGTTCGTGTATCATTAGATTACCTAAAAGAGTGTGTTACTGTAATAAAATTTTATTATCAATTAAAACTTATTAAATCAATAATTTTTAGTATGTGAAATGAAAAATAAGTTTGAGAGTACGATTACGTATAAATAATAACCAACACTCTTAAAACACCTAAAATTAATACCTCGATAAATCCATGTTTTTCAAATTTTCAAATATTATAAGTTTAAAAGTTAAATATTTAAATATGATATTTGCAGTGATGTTAATAATACAGAAGAGGCTATTGGTTTTGCTTTTGTTTACATAACCGATTGATTTCTTGTAGTGATGTTAGCTAATATCGGGGCCTGACCTTGAACTTGACAATGATATAATAGTCGGGTCTTGGGCCTTTGAGTATTTTTATTTTAATTTTACATGGTTCCACCGTATGCCATCTTTATAATTGCATTGGATCTTTGTCACATATTGGGCCAATCTTTGTTTTATCCCATCTCTCAAGATTACCCTTCAATTTTCTAATTTCTATGAATATTAACCTTTAAATTTGGGGTTGTCCTTGTGGATAAGGGTGTTAATGAAAAGAGTGTTTGATGAACTGTTCGTGAACCGTTTGTATAACGTTTGTTTAAATTCATCTGTTAAGCTAAATGAACGAATATGAACAAAAATTTTATATTCGTTTAATAAACGAACGAACACGAACAAAGGAGTGTTCAATTCATTTATGTTCATGAACAAGCTCGTCTATAAACTCATTTGTCAACTTGTTCATTTATGTTTATGAACAAGCTCATTTAATTTTTATTTTTATTTTTACATTTTAAAGATCTGTGAATGTAAGGATTAAATTAAACTCGTGGTGAAATTTGGAGTTTAATTGTGGATGTTATATAATATTTATTTAGTTGGTTTTGTTTAATTTCTAAATATATATATGAACAAGTTGTGACCCTAAATAAACATAAAAATGAACATAAAAATGAACGTTAAATACTCAAAATAATGATGTGATATGTGTCACATCACCTAAAGTGATGACATGACATGTGCTATATCAACAATTGGACACGTGTAAAAATATCATATCAACAACAAGGGTTAACCGTTAGTCAACTAACGGTTACCATCCAGCTAGGTCTATTTTGACCAAAAATTAAAACCTTAGAGACTAAAATGCTAAAAAAGAGAGTAAAGTGACAATTTGTACAAACATTATGAGTAATTTTGTAACTGTACCAATATATTTTTAAAATCGCTTTCACGTCAATAAGACAATTTAATATTTAGATGACTTGATCATAATCTTTTAAAATTTGACAATGGATTTAAAATTTAAGTCATAATCTAGGATGTATAATGAAATTAAGTTTTTGATAAAAAAATGGATTTTGAATATAGTATTATAATAAATACAGGTGCGTAATTGAAAGACATATCAAATGTTAGAGACATGTGCACCTATTACATGTACAGTTTAGTGATGACTATTTTCTTAAAAATGTCAAATCTAAATTTTTTGTATGATAAGTATATATACATTTAAATTTTGATCCACGCATTTGGATCATTCTCAATGACACATACGAGCAGGCATCTAACATCCAAATTGATTGTTTGACTAACATAAAGACCTAATTAATACGACACGACATTGATACTTTGATGATTTTATGAGAAAGTTCCAAAGTTTGACACCGATCTATAATATGTATTATAATTCGAGGATGTTTGGGGAATTAAACTAGGAAAAACACATTTTTGTTTTCATTTTTTTTAAAAAGTTTTCTTCATTGCTTTCCCTTGCAAAGCTCCGCTTTGTGTTGGGTGGAGGTCTCTAAGCTAATCTCGTTACTCCATCAACATAAATGGACATGCTAAACTAAAGCAAAAAACCCCATCCCCAGAAGACTATATATTTATTTATTTATACAGAAAGCTACAGTGGCAAAGATTTTAGTGGTTTGTAAGTGAGAAGGAAAAAGGTATAACCAATTAGGGACGGTTTGGGAATAAAATATTTATTCTTCCGTTTGGTTGGCCAGTAATTCTATTCACTGATAATCTTTTATTATCAATAGTAGATTTTTTAGTATATTATCGGGAATGTGATTACACCTTCCTTTAGGTATTGTTGGATTACCGGTGTTTTTGACTAAAATGCCCTTAATTTTTTTCTTCAAAAATATCATTCTTCTTTCATTGAATAATAAAAATTCTACGAATGTTAAATTATAAATTTATCCTTAAACTATTTTAGATTTACAAAAAATCTATAATTAAATAAAATTTTACCTTTTCATTAAACATATTTATCTTTTTAATTTTGTAAAAAAATATATATAAATTTTATAAATTTAAATTTTTTAAAGAAAATATATAAATTAATTATAATAATATTATAGTAAAATTCAACTTGTTAAAAAAATAAATATATAATAAGAACAATTTGATAAAATATACATTTCAATAATTTTTTATTTCTTTAATCAAATACTGTAATTTTATATTTCTATTAAACCGACCAAATTTAAAATACAACATTCTCCGTAATCTTTATTCTCATTAATAATCTTTCCATTTATGAACTAAACAGGTTTGGTCGGAAAGTTGCCCACGGAAAGGTAACTTCTCTCCCACTTCATCCCCCTCTCTATCAGTCTTTATTTATTTTTTCTACGTGTCGTTTTTTGACCTCAGATTCTTCTTTATTCAATTCAAATTGATGGGATTTCTTTTGTTTTTAGGATTCGATTTGGAGTTGAGTTTCCTAGATTGATATGGCATTTTTCTTTTTGGTAATTTTCCTTGATTACGAGTGCTTCAATTGTGGCCTTTTGTTTAGCTGAAATGAACAAAGAATAGTTTGGTGACCTTTTGAAGGAAGTTGACCGTGTATGATGATGAGAAGGAAATAAGTTTTTCTTTTCTATTTTCTTTTCCTTTTCCTTTTTCACATTAAAATTTAGTTTGGATTTCTGGGTAAAGTGGATTATTGAGTTGTGTGGAAAGTTAGGAAAATTTGGACAACAGGATCGAATTCTGGGTTCCATCATGAGGAAGATTTAGCATCAAATATGAACCGGCACGCTTTACCATTCCAATCAGTTGCGTTTAGTTGTAGTTCTGACATGATTCCGGTGGGTGGTTACTTTGCTCCACCGCCGATGTTCTTGCCGGGGAATTCCAGTATTATTACCACTTCTCCTGCCTTAATCCAACCGGGAAGTTCTTCTGGATCTTCCTTCCTTCTAGATTCTGTTGCAGGACTCAAGGATGATACAGGGTTGGCTGTCGAGTGGTCTGTTGATGAACAATATATATTGGAGGATGGCCTTGAAAAGTATGTTCTATAATTCCTTCTTCTTGCTTTTTTATTTTGAGTTTTTGGAGGCATATTCGATTGTACGATTGATATAAGTAGTGTAGTTGAATTTTCCCAGTTCATATAGAATAAAAGACCCCCTTATTGTGTTAGTAGGACTGCTGTGTGTTTTCGCTTATGATAGAACTGTTTCCAAAGAGATACTCATTAGGTATGTCTTGTTTTTGAGCTTAAGATTTAAGTGCTGATTTTCGTTTTTCAATGTGCATGTATATAGATATAAAGAGGAACCGAATATTTTGAAGTACATAAAGATTACAGCTACTTTGCCTGATAAAACCGTACGTGATGTTGCTTTGAGGTGCAGGTGGATGCAAGTAAGGTCCCTTCTATTTTTAATGATTCATTTCTACCATTGTTTGTACTAATTTCTATTGCCTTGTATCATGTGATTTATGCTCTCATTCTATGTCTGCATGTGAAAAATTGGTTTTCAAGATTATTAGTTTTGATATGGTAGAAACTGGAAATGTTCAATTAACGACACATGTTCTGGATTATCTGTGCTAAAGAGAACTTGGACTAAAAAGTATCCTCTTAACCAAATATCTTATACTTATATGAAATTGGCAGAGAAAGCGACGGAAGCCTGAACATAATTCAGGAAAAAAGCCGAACAATAGAAAGGTATGCTGATTAATTTTTGTAATTCTGTGAAATAGTTATTGATTTCTTAGATTCTTTTGCCCCAAAATGAATTTGCACATGTTACATACATTTCTGGAAGCACATAGAATCCGGATGATGAAATATAGAATTTAAGGCTTGAGTTTGGCAAGGAATGTCGATTTTCTACTTTTCATTTTTCAAGTTGAATTATTGTTTTTTGTGATTGCCTTCTTTCTTTCAAGTCAAATCACAAACAAGGCCGTTAACTATGACTAAAAATTAACAGTAATTAAATTCACTGTATCTCAATTTGCTAAGTTGAATGCCATGACTTATTTTCATGTTTTAATTTCCGAAAACCAACCGATGTCATTAGGATATATTGTGATCGAAGAAACCATATTCTAAAGATCTTACTTCTTCAGGATAAGCCGGTGGAATCATCTTCTAAGATGAATTTGCCTTCATCTCTGCCACCAACCATGTCTGCATATCCTCCAATGATGCACCATGTGGACCAGAATGAAAGAATGCCTTCTGAAGGTTTGTATGTTATATTAACACCTAGAAATATCAATATCCTTCTTTCGGTTGTGATTGCTTTTGATTAGTGTCTTTCTATCAGTATTTGTTTAGTCTCTCCATTTGTATTATTTCATGAAATATAGGACATAATTTTCTGTAATCTTACAAACTGATCTTCCAAAATTTAAAACTTTTTCAAAAGTGCAAGCTTTGAAAACTTAACAGCAATGTAAAAGTTATACTCTACAATAGAGATTGATCTTTCTTTTATGAGGTCAAAGAATGATTCTAGCAGCTGGCTTCAGTCTAGTAGCTACTCAGTGAATATCTGCGAAATAATAGCACAGCCTAAACACCTGTGGCATTTAACAGTAAAGCTAAAGAGTTTATTAGACTGTACTTTGCATATATAAATTATACTCTGATTGTTTCATACGCCCAACTTTGTCTATTTGTGTTGTTAAAGTAAATTTCTTCTAATTTGGGCTTTAGACACCATGTGTCCATTTTCCTTGAAATTATCAAACTAATTCTGTTTATTTATTTATTTCCTTAATTTTATATGTTATTCTTCCCTTCTCTTTTTAGTTTATGTGAGGTTTTACTTAATGGAAAACCTATTGTAGTTACTTGCGAGGTTTTAATGTTTAATCTGCAAATTATGCCTGCTGTATTGTTTAGCTGTTTAATTTGCTTGTTTGTCGTATGTTCTTAGGAATATGCGGTACAATTATGCATATTTTGAAGCAAAATGCTCAAACTCTTAGCCAAATCACATCCAATCTTTCTGCATACAAGGTATCATTCCCTGGTTCATAACCTTTCTTTGATCATCATATGCAACCATGCAGTAATTGATAGGTGTTATTGTGATGAATTCTATGCCTTCTTGTTTATGCTACTTTTTAATGTTTAGTCTGCAAGTTATGTAAGTGTTTGCAGTAAAGTTCAAGAGGTTAACTTAGGTGATAATGATTCCTTTATTAATTGATTAGTGTTGATGGATTTAGAGTGAGACTATGAGAATCATCACTGATGAAATTATTAAAGATCAAAATTTTTGGATCTAGCATTGTTGTCCAAAACTTTTAGCTTCATTTGCAAACTGATATAAGGTGGCATATAAATGTACTTCTGCATTCGTGCTCTTCATTGTGTATTGTTGCAAGTGGAACTCATCTTTCAAAGGAAGTGTTATGGATTCTATTTATTCTTCTTTTGCAAAGTGCTCTTCGAATCTTGTATGTGATTGCCTTATCATGTATGATTCTTGTTAACACTTACAGTATTCCGAGGTTGGCTTATTGATTAAAGCTTTTATAAACAGTTACAGGATAACATCGATCTCTTTTGTCACGCAAGGAACAATATTACCGCCATGCTAAACGAGTACGTTGATTTTCTTTTTAATTGTTTTTTTTATAGAAATGGGAGACCTCTTTAAAAAAACCCCTTCATACGAAATGTGAAAGTTTCTTCGAGCATTGGACGGAGGAAAGAAGTGTCTCATATTTTATTGCAACCTGGAACATTACAACTTAGGAATCATTAGAACATTTTTCTTTTTAATTGTAAATTGGTGATTAATGCCCTCTGGCATGCTTTTTGATTATTTATCTGGTTTGCTGTCTCCTATATGGGTTATTAGTTTCAAATGTGACTTTTTGCAGCATGAGAGATACACCAGGTTTAATGAGCCATATGCCACCGTTGCCTGTGTCTGTTGATGAGGATTTAGCAATTAGCATCTTGCCTGGAGCAACTAATGCCTTGTCTCAGGTAGGTTCTCATTTAAATTGATTTAGTTGCATGTACTGGGATTGATACCCAAAATGGAGGAGTCGTATAAAACGCAATAAGCCAAAGAATTTGTATAAAACACCATAAGCCAAAGAATTTGTATAAAACACCATAAGCCAAAGCCTATTTTATGCATGGTTGCAAATGTAACCTTCGTGGGTTGATCTGAACATCAAACTCTTTCAGTCTTACATTCTGTTCATGTTAGTAAGCTTCATCGCACCATGGCATGTAGTCATCTTTCCATGTGGTTAGGTCACATAAACCGAATACTTAACTTTATCACGTAATCCCACTGCTCTTGAGATGGAGAGGGCGGGGGTGGGACTGCATTTACACCTTGAGATCAACCCCTTATACCATCATACTATCAACTAGTGTCTGTTTAATGGTGGGAAATTAGTTTCCCCACAAGGCAATAGGTGAAACTGCAAATGTTTTAAGCGAACGGGAAATGATAGTGCTTATTATGATCCCACTTAATTCGCTATGGTGCATACTTGTGTTACCTTGTTTTGTTTTTCCTTGTGTACGCAGACAGTGGTTTTTGGCTCGCCAAGCGGGATCCATCTCAAGCAGGAACCAAGGTGCTGATATCGAACTGTCAAGATTGAGACTGGATATATCTGGTTCGTGTAACTACAAAAGAAAATTCGACCGTAAATGCCATCAGAAGCTTTGTAGGTTGCCACCATTGGGTGCCACTGGATAAATTTGTAGAGATCCCCCATTTTCGGAACCCGATAATGTTTTACCCATCATATATTAAATCCATGCACCCGATATTAAGAAATGCAGCACTTATCATCTCCTTGCTCCATGGAGGCTAAAAATATTCCAAAATAAAAAAAAAAATCTAACAGGTTTAGTTGAATCCTTACTTGGTGCTTTGATTCATGTAATTGCTTGTATTTTGTTTTCTTCTTGTTTCAGGTCAACATTTCAACTCACTGAGTTAGAATGATTTTCTCTTGTTGTAGCATTTTCTTTTGATAAAGGAAATCGCAATTTGATTGCAAATACTGAGATTCAAATTTTATAATTTTAAGTTCGTAATATATTTTATAATATGAAAATTACATTTTACAATATGTATATGTAAAAAAAAAATAATAATAATCTCCCTACTAATGCAGATCAATATGATGTATTCAAAAATCTGATTTCGTGTGGTGATTTATAGGATATATACAAGTACGGATATCTGATCACAAATTACCGGACCAATCATAATCTTGATAGACGATGGCAATGGTGTCTTCATCAGCCAAAAGCTTCTTCAAAATCTCAGCGTCTCTTCCATCCAGGTACTTGAGCACCCACTCCAAGATGTCTCTATCCTTCTCTCCAAAATCTGCGCTGAACCTGTTTGTCAAAATGCCCTTGTTTTCATGTGTCTAATTTCCGTCTCCAGTTAATTTCTCCATACATCCTGAACTATATTTAAAATCTAAACTGGTGTTGTAAATTTTAAATCGATTCATTAAAAATATCATTATGTATAAATTATGTCGTTCCGTCAGTTTGATATTAAATGTCGGTTTGGATCTATTGTGGAACATATTTAAAACATGTTTATCAAATTTTAAACACGTGTATACCTTCCACACAGATAACTTAGATCAAATTTGATTCAAACTGACATTTAATGACCGAACTATATAAGAGACTGATATTCTAAGGACTCAAACAAAATAGTTTAAAATTTTAGGATAACGCATACTATAGGTCACTAAACTGTGCTGAAATAATTGTTTTGGTCACTAAACTTTTAAAAATTATAAAATAGTCATTAAATTTCATAGATCTGTTATAAGATGTCATTAGATTTTATGGGATTGATACAATTTTTTTATATTGTAGTAACTTTTTTTATAATAGTTCCATAAATTGAATAACTATTTTAGAACTTTTGTAAGCTCAGTGACCAAAACAATTATTTGAACATTGTTCAATAAACTTTAATCTTTATGACCAAATTAGGGGGGGGGGGCTTACCATTTGATGATTCGAGTTAAGTAAACAGTTCTTAGATCGGAATCAATCTCAATCCCTTCATTCTGAAAGTAGTCCATTGTTGCAGTTTTGAGCTCTTCTTGCACATTCTGGGCTGTGAAAAACCTTAGCTTCGGGCTTGATCTCGTTCCTTTGCATAATCCGAAATGAATCAATGGATTCAGTTTCATAGGAACCAGCTGTCAATATTACAATAAAAAAGAAAAGGTCAAGCCTCCATGATTTATAAAGTGAAAATGTTCTGTTAAGTTATAGTTTTCATCCCCACACTATATTTAACTATGAGATTTAGTCTTTATAGTTTGATTTTATATGCTTTGATCATCCTACTCTTATTAATGTTATCTCTTAGTCATATCACTAACATTATCTAAAAATATCATTTGTCAACTAATGTCAATTTTTTTTTGAACAAAAATATTTTTTTAGAGATAAGATTGTTAAGGATTGGACTCATACTTTCATGTCGTGCAAGAATCTAATGGCTACAATGGATGTTATATATATATAACGACATCAATCGACTAATGAAATTTTCTAACAGTGTAAGTAATGTAGATCCAAGAATAACATCACTCTAATTAGGGATACCGGGATAGTGATGGATCAGATTTTCAGTTCATCCGAACTCGACTTGACTCGAGTTTAAGGAAGTTTTATAACACGATTTTTAAGGTAAAAATTCGAACCCACATCCTATCCGGCTCAAATATATATTTCTTGTTTTTATTAAGTAAAATAAAGACCTAATTGAAAAAAATATATAAATAGAGGAGTATTATAATAGTTATTCATAAATTTATAAAGGTCAATCATATTATTACTCTCAAATCAAATATTTTCACCCTAAACCTAAATCTATCTTATACTTTAAAAAGTTGACCCAAAACCAACTTTTTTTTAAAAAAATATGACCCTATAAAATCATATCAGAACCTATCGAGTACGGATCAAATATTCAACCCTACTCGTAGTATGAGATATATAGATTAAATCCCGATATAATATAGGTTCGAAAAATATAATTTGACCTAAAGTTAAAAAAAAGATCGAATTGTTGAGTTTAGGATTTACGTGTAAACGTCGGTCTCCTTTGTTAAAGGGTTTGGTCAAGGAATAAGGGGATCTACGATTGTTTCTGAGGATCCCATTCTCTATGATGCTGAGGGAATAAGGGTACCCTCCGATTACATATTGAAAATCCAAGAAGAAAATTTTGTTATCGAGTATTCCTTCAGGGTGTCCGATACTGATTACAGCATGGATCACCATTGCATTGTATAAGTTCAAGAAGAAGGTCAATCTCTCATTTGGAGTGAATAATTTAAGATTGATCCTTTGCAAATCTCGAACCAACTTAATATATCTGCATCAACAACAAAATCGAGAATTAAGATTTAATTCGTTTGATTTATACGGTTATTATTAGAAGATAATTTAATAACTCAATTTAAATTGCATATTTCTAAAAAAAAAAAAGTAAAGAGAAACATAAATATAGAGATATAATCTCCAAGGATCCTTTACGAAAAAAAATAACCGCATCCATTTAGACCTATGAATTTAATAGATTGTGTTGATTTTGGATTTGGTCAATTTGCATGGAAATTGATCGTTAAATCTTAATAGTTTTGGATCAATTTAAATCAGTTAAACTCTTTGATATTTTTTTAACGAAAAATTGAATTAACTAAATTCTTTGATCAATTTTAATCAAAAAATTAAACCAATTAATCCCTTTTATTAATTTAAACAATTATTTATGAGATATTACTATTACATGACTTATGTTCTACAACGTTGAAAATGGAGGTTCTTTAAAGAAAAGTTCTAAAATAGTTCTAAAAGATATTAAAAATGATAAATTTTAGAAATATCACTTGACAATATTGTGATATAACAAATGATACCAATTAATTTAAGAAAAACTATTAGATTTAGTGGTTAGCGTTGATTATAGGAGTAAATTAATTAAATTTCAGAATATAAGAACTTTTGATACCTTTACGCTAGTTTTAAATTTTGAGTAGAAAGTTTGGGTCAATTTTTGGTTTACGACACTTTTTGTTTTGGTCCCTCAGGTTTGGTTTAATTTGAATTTATTTTTTTGTGTTTAAGAAAATATCTTTATTAAATGTTTAGTTTACGATTTTGTTTGTAAATTTTCGTTGTAATTTAGATATTTTCTACTTTTAATAAAATTAACGACTTCTATAAAAAAAATAGACTTAAATTTACTTTAAATACTCGAATTCGAGCAATAGTGACTTAAAAACATACCTGCGAAATTCTTCACTTTTACCGATGGCAAGATAATCGACATGGAGTCTGTTGTCGGATACATAGCCATCCATTTCCACGATGGCCAACATTAATTTGGAAAGTCTATCGACCATAATCGATGCAGGCTTTGGTTCATTATCATTTGTCGCTGTTCGAAAGTTGAAGCATCCCATAATAAATGGCTCATGTTCAAGGAAACGATAATAATGGTTCCCACTTTCAAAATCATTTTCCCTTCAATTAAAAAATAATAATTAACTTTCAGTGTTAGAAAATTAACATTATATTATTATAATTCATTTTAAATAGAATGTTTCTAACCCAAAGACATGGTGGATGAAGTGTTTTTGGGCTATCATCTTCGCAGTGGCAATGCCCTGAAACAGCGTATTAATATAATGTTATAAAATGATTATTGAACTTTTAAAATTATTATAAAATAGTCCATTATAGTATTAAAGTAATAATAAATTTTGATAAGTAGTGACAAATCTAGACATCATATCAGGTAGGTTCATGTGTTAGATCAAGTGGATTCAAATACATTTAATTTATTATGATAAATGACTTATTTAAAAATGAATCTAAATTTAAGTATCAATTTGAATCTAAAAGTCAAATTCAAAAACATAATTGGACAACAAAATAGATACTAAATTTAACCTTAAAGTCAAATTTAGATATCTAATTGGATAAAAAATTAAGTAGCTAGATACTTAAAACTATAAATATATATTTGATATTTGAACTAGGTACCTTCTCCCAAGTTGAAGTTAGTACCTAAAGAACTTCTGCTCCTAAATTGGTACCTAACTTGACACCTCTTCTTAGGTTGGCACTTAAAGAAATTTTGGCTCCTAATTTGATACCATAACTTTAATTTCATTTATTGTTTTGATATTTTTAATAATTTTTTTTCTAAATTTTAAATTTTTTTATTAAAAAATGACATATGATGACATTATTATTGACATGTGATATAATCTTATATTGTCATGTTATCAAAAAATAAAATTCATGTGTCAAGTACTAAAGGTATCTGATTTATAAAGTGACTAGTTCGTGTGTGGAATGTATATTTAAGCTTATATTGAAGGGTAAAATTAACTATAAAATTTAAACCTTTCTTTTGCCGCAGTCAAGGTAGGTAGTAATGGCTTCCACCATATCAGCACCAGCAAAGCAACTCTTCACCATTTTCATCTTAATCAAACGGTCCTGAATCTGCAAACTCCGTCTCAGATAATTTACTACTTCCATCAATTCATCTTCTTCGTCTTCCTCATCGTTAATTCCGTAGTCCGGTGCTTTCGGCGCTTCTTCGGGACATTTCGGACCCAACAATTCCCTCATTTTCTCTTCCAATCCCCCACTCTCGCTCCACGATTTCAATGTCTCCAATCCGCCTATCAAGCAATCGTTAAAGAATATCTTCGGCACTTGGGCGTCTCCCGATCGTTCGATCAACTCCTCAGCCTTTTTAGTGAACACGTCGATGTTTATTTCAACGTATCGATGCCCTTTTTCTCTGAAGAATCTGCGAGCGGCGATG